TTGAAAAAGTAGGGATAGCTCTTCGGCTGACCTAGGATACGGACAACCTGCGGAATCGACTGATGAATCCTTGTCCTTTCGTACATACATCCAGGCCTGTCTACCTATTTCCCCCTTATCATACCACATTTTACAATACGTAATCCATTTTCTTCTCTACTGCTTTTACATGTGGGGGTTTCTAGGCGAGGGATACTTTTCCATCCTGAATAACTAGTTTATACCATGGCAATGGGTCTGAATAAGCACTAAGCCCACCAACACCGACAGAATTACACCTGAAAGATCGACAAGACTTTGCAGATAAGTGGACCTTTTTTTATTCCACATACATTGAAGTACACGTGGCCCGACGCACTGGTAGGACAGCACATCGAGCAGAAAAAGAAAAAAGCAAAACGGGTATCTATGCATACACGCGGATCTTAAACGTCAATCATGGCGTCATTCGGACCAGCCAAAAAAGGAAACTCCGACAAATTGCACCCTCATATACTTTTACCGCAAGCCAGGCGCTTAGGCCATGGATGTTTTGCGCGAGATGGTGACCTGACTGGACCGACGGACGGCTGCGTGCCGCTGCCGGTCCGCTTCTAAAGTCTGGGCGAACTTGCTTCGGGCCCGGATCTCAGGTCCCTTCCAATAGAAAATGTAAATGGGGACTGTCACCAGGACGGACAAGCAGCCAAGAATGGTGCTCGCCCATTGTAGATGGAATCGGCCACCGATATTGGTGTACATGGGTGTTGCGTACATGGCTGAAAGTCCGGCGAGCAGATCTCGCGCAAACCCGTTGCCTCCCGTCGCAGACGCAGAGTATTCTCCATACGCGGCAACCATGTAGTCGATAGTAGCCATGTAGATGCCGTAATTGGCAATAGCGATCAGGAACACAAATACTAACGGTACGATCCAGTGGGTGTACTCGGGGCCCATAGAGGTCCAGGCGAATCCAAACAGTCCAATCGTTTCAAGAGGCGCAATGAAGAGCAAAAGTAGAAGGCGTCGCTCAGCGTATCGAGAGGCATTTCCCTCCCGGCGTCGCACCAGGCGTTGACGGTAGATGTCGGGTAGGAAGATACCGTAGGCAAACAAGTAGCCGATCACAATGGCAACGAAGCACAGACCGATTTGGACGGCATTGAACCCCCATTGTGCGAAGACTAAAGAGAACGACTCAATGCAGGTGAAGATGAGCGCATCGGAGAAACCGGAGAGCAAAGATAGAAAGAGCACAATAGGTTCACAGAGGAACATTTCGAAGGGTCGGCGCCAAACGTCTAGGACCTCCTTGATGTTGAGTCGGGAGGGCTTCAGCTCGTTCGGTCCATACACGTTAGGATCCTCGCCGGTTTGTCGTCGGCGTTTGGCCTCTCGGTCAAGAAGAATCGTCGATCGAGTCTCACAGACAAGGAAAAAGTGCAGGAGCTGAGTAGCACCGCCAAAGATAAGCTGGATCCAAAAGTTCCACCGCCAGCTCAACCACTGCTGCATCATTCCGCCAAATATCGGTCCAATGGTGGTACCTCCCACGGAGGACAAGACCACATAAGCGACAGCAAAGCCCTGATCATCGGGCTCCCACATGTCAGCCGTCATCCCGAGAGTCACAGAGCCGCCTGCAGAGCTAATACCACCAAGGCCACGACAGACAACCATCGTTGCGAAGTTAGGAGCAAGAGCACACGGTATCTGCCAGATATTCACGAACAGTAGACTGAGCTGCATTATCGGCCACCGGCCATACTCCTCACTCCATGGGGCCCACAGTTCACAGCCAAAAGCATATGTGACTAAAAATATCATTTGGCCTACTCGGGCGGCCTGTTCACTGATATTAAAGTGTTCGGAGAGTTGCGGGACGGCGTTGGAGTAAGTGCTGCTGTTGAAATTCATTGACATTTGCACGACGAAAATGACCGTAAGGATTGTCCATTTTTTGTACCATGGGAAACAGAAGCCCAGCTTCTCGTAGCAGTCGTCTTCGGTAAGTTCTCGTTTCACGGGGCCGTGAAACTTCCCTTGAATTTCACTATCATCATCTGGCTGAGTGGCATGCTCAGCATGCATATTCCCAGGTTGGCGCGTGGGACTGAAAGCCCCCTCCTTTCCTGAAGGCTTCTCTAATAGCTCTTTTGTGTCCATGATGAGAAAATTGTTTCTTAGGTGATCCAAAGAAACACTACCGTTGTGGGATTCATGAAATATATGTCGAACAACAAGGAATTGGCCAAGACAGGAAGGCCAAATAAAAGGTCGGGCGAGATTATAGTCCTGTACCGGTGAAACAGAGCGCCGGGAAAGAACAAGGAACTGGAAGGTGGGTGGGTTTGGTATGGATGGAGAAGGCCACACCAGGAACAAGGCGAGCGTCTTATATAGTGAAATCAAATACTTCAGCCCTGCAGACCCAACATCGGAGTTGAGGGTGGCCGAATGCACCGCTCTAGGAAAAGCAATGGTGGCACGACGTCATGAACGTGGAGTATCCGAGGAAACGATTGTAGCGTGTAGGAGTAGGCGTAGGGAGGGTGCAGCTCCGATATCGATCGATCGCCGTGGGGCCACGGCCGGGACGATCAATGAAAATGCCTGGAACGCTCTGGATTAACTTTCATTGCTTCTCTCCACCATTCCTGTGTTGATGAGGGCTAGCCGCACATGGCACACTCAAGTAACACAATGCACTGCGCCTTGTACCCAACGCCTGCAAAGTCCCGCCCTTGAAAAAAGAAAGCAAGAATTCGACAATTCCTATGACAAATGAGCTCAAGCTACACACCATCATCGTCGGCATTACCCCGTGAGATGTCCAGTGCCCAAGCCATCGAATACCTTTGATAGGGACGTTGGGTTGTCGCGCCAATTAGCGGCTCGAGCGCTTGTCGGGGTACCCAAAGCGGTAGTCCGGCCACCGACCGCATCCCAAACCGTAGACGTCGTTTGGTCCATCCCATCTTCAACTACCAACCATGACGCCATTCCAGAGGCAAAACCCTTGACAAATCCGGTTTGCATGGGGATATCCACGTTCTTACTGCATGTAACCCTGCAGAATGGCCATCCATGGATAGGCAAAGAGAACCTATCGCCTGACATGAACGAGCTATGATTGAACTAAATGGGCATGTTCAACGTTGAGAATGGTAATGCCTGGTGTAAGCAGAATAGCATCACTTCATGGGCCGAGCAAATGGCATCAGTTGCTCTAGAACATTGCCCGTTCGAAATCGTGCACCGCCACATTCCTGGGGGCTACTTCTAGACAATCTATACTCATGACTCCTTACCGTGGACATTGTGTAGGGTAGTACTTCCTAGTCATTGCCTCCTATCCCTTGCTTCGGAGGATGGGGACCGGTAACAGCGCATTTCCGTCGTCGCGTGGCTGCCGGAAAAGAGACCGAGCGAGTGTCATTAACAACCGAACAGCAAGACGACATGTAGCCTGCGATAAAGGGTGTCGGCACCCAATCGCGTTCAAGTATGTATTCACGATGTCCTTTGACAGGTCAATGACTCTGTCTTTCTGGCACCTTCTTGGCGTTACCACGACATTCATGAGGTGATGCATCTGGTAGCACAATAACCACCATGCCGGGATTTCCAAGGTGTGGACCGAGCCGAAAACGTGTCGGGCCGGCATCGGCAGGGCTGCTACAACAGTTTTCTTACGGAATGTAACCTAATCTTAGTGATGGCGTACAGGTCGTCCAATCATTCGCCCACGGAGATTGCAGGAAGGAAGAATCGAAAAGCCAACAAAGAGTGTCAAGCGTTCAGTTCAACGAAAAATGGTATCACGGACGCCGACGGAAGTATAGCCTAGGGAGAGGCGAATGCAGAGGGAGTGAAGTATCCTAGTGTAGCTCGACCATGAAGAAGTCCATACTGTCCGCCGGGCATTCTCACGATAACGAGCCAGGCATCAAAGCATTGTTGATTCGGGGTACCGGACTGATCCCTCGTGGTTATCCGTGGAACATGTGCCATTCATGCAATTCAATTGGCCTTGCTTGCATGAGGTGAACAAGACGTTACATTCCTGGAATGTAACCTGGTTGTATCTGCAGGTATGCAGGGAAAAATGAAGAAGAATGAGAAAGGAATGAAGATGGAAAGCAAATGAAAGGAGAGAATCACGCCCTTGCGCAGTCGGCAAACGTTGCCCCCCGTACCCGGGGGCGCCGCATTCCCCGTTCGGAAGGGACAAGCCCAAACTATGATCCATCCATATGCCACCTCGCTCCATATCTACTACCTACATTGTACATTCTGCTTGACTCTACAAGCCTCGCCCCTTACTGATTCCCCACGCTTTCTTCCGATTTAGCCGCATCTTTTGGTCCATAGCCTTGACATGAAGGTGAAATAAAAATTTCGCCCTTCAAAAGCAAGATTAAAGAGAAATCTCTGGTCCCAACGCCCCACAGACAGGAGATCGGTTAGAGTATGCCGGACCGCAGTCTGACCTTCAGCCAGCCTTTCGCAAAGTTAAATGCCGGGCGCTGATATTCGTCTTTCAGAGGTTGATCTAGATCGCAATCCAAATCCACTTCTCCGCACCCTTCTTATCGTGACTCCGGATGCCGCTCAGTACGGACACCCTATGACATCCCCACTGCCCACTTGTCATATCAATCCCATAATCTAGACAGGCCGAAAAAACCCCTTTGTAATCTGTAGCGATGGTTGATGGGTAAGGGTCCATCACGGGATTACAGACTGGGCTAGCCTTGTGCTAAGACCGGCGCGTGATCGATTAGGGTACTCGGTCGACATTGCAGAACAGATTGACAGGGTCTCTTAAGTCGTAAGGGCCAGACCGCTTGTAGGCCTGTACGAGTGGGGTGAAAATCCAACAGAGTATATTGATTACGCTCCGGGCTTTTGCTTTCCAGTTCAACAAAGCCAAGCCTTGTTTTCTCTCCCAATCTCCACCTGCAGGGAATTACCCCAGAAGATAAGGCACGACCATAACAGTTTGACCCATGCACTACCTATAGATTTCCGTGGAGAGGCGGTAGGCCGCCCATGGGGTCATGGCTTTCGCATACGTCCTCCCACAAAGTGCTCTCAATGACATCATCAAAAACGAGTTGTTCGTTCAGAGGCAATTGAAACCAATTGGAAGCATCCTCCATGGAATCTATGTGGCCGAAAATGTTCATCGGTTCTAGTGCTGTGGTTGGCGCTCCTCTTTGTCCCGCGGAAACAGAACTATTACCATCTGCTGGGCGGTCACGCACGGATGGTTTCGTGGTATTCGGCTGGATTGATGCATCCCCCTCACATTCTAAGGATGTAAGAGCCTTGATTGCGCGATTGCTGACATAGTTCGTTGAGCTCATTTGGCCCAGGAAGCGGAGGTTGAGACGGTAAAGGTGCGTTGTCCGTTGCGACAGAGTGGCATCAGCCGAGTCGGCATTCAAAAGATGCACGAGAGATGAAGTTGCCAAGCTATGGACAGCGAATGGGGAAAGAGTTCCCTAATTATAGTTCAGTATTCTAGATAGGATTTCATTATGGGCCAATATTCGTATAACGTAGACCAAAAGAGGGCGGTGGAGTTGATTCGCTAAGTGGTACTTACCAATGGATAGAAGTTTCTATACGCATTAACGATGGATGTTATGCGAATGGCTGAAAAGGTTGCTGATTGGATATGTACCATTTCCGGGCCCTTCAATTCCTCCAAGTCATGCATTGACGGGGCTATTTTGATGAAAGGACGATGAAGCATGATTTTCAAGTTGTGATATAACAAGCTGGACATACATTAGCTCCTCATCACCCCTCGTCGTGGTTTCCTAGGATTGTATACTTGAATTGGTAAACAGGTGGGCTCAGTTGCTTCGTAGCGGTGGCAGGGAGTCTGAGGTGACTCGGTAAGGTATTGTAGAATTCGGACATGTCGACATGAGTCTTTGTAGCTTTCTCTTCCTTTTCAAGTATGCTTAGAGGAGATTCCAGTGCATGACTTGGGGCGTAGTTAGTAAAATCGACCAAAAAGGCCTCTCTGAGTCTGGCTGGGAAAACCCATGAGCACTGTCGATCTCTCGTAGTGACCACTTACATTTCGTCCAGAACAGGTGATACCATGCGCACTAGCTGACAGGCATATTGAAGATTTGACATACTGGAGAATGCCAATCCTGGATCTGACGTGTCAGATACCGACCATAGGCGATACTCGACACTGGGAAGGATTGGGACTGGTCCTGGACGCATGTCACCGTCGCGTAGAGCACTTGGCTGCCCAAGGATTTGAGATATATGTCTATCGCAGTATTAGCTTGGAGTTCAGGCATAGCGCTGGAGATAATCAGACCTTTCCAGCAGCCAGACACCCCACCATGCAAGTGACCGGGCTTCTAGAACTTCTTGGGAGCCTTGTATCGATCCATCTATTGTAGGTGTTTCAACATGAAGTCCAAGAGTCAGGGAATGTCGAAAAGCAATCCCTAAGATGTGTGAGCCTTCAAATACTGATGTTAATATATGGGCTTACCAATATACTGCGAAGCAGAGGACAGATTGTCGACTGCTAATTCTCTTAGAGCGATAATAGCTGCTGCCAGGACAATGACCAGACAGGGATATTCTATTTGCGCGAGTATTTTGCTTTTTGCATGTTTAGCAAGAGCCTCGCCTGATGTTCTCCAGACACTGAGCTGTGCATCACTGGCATATTGGGAGCTAAAGGCTAGCATTGCTGCCGATAAGGTTGGGGTGGCATAGACTTTGACTCCGCCGTTGGTCAAATCTTTGTGAAACAGAGGCTCATGGACTAGAACTGGCCAAGTATTTCTCCAGGTCCAAAAGTCGTCTAAAAGCTGGCTTTGTGCATCGGGAGAAAGTAAAAACAGCTCTTCTGATACTGACTCTACATTTTCCAAGATGTCCACCCCGCTAGAGCTTTGCTGTTGTTCGCCAAGCTCCCTGGAGTAGAACAGTCCGTACGCCCCTGAAATCCGGAACTCTCGCCTGAAGCCCGAAAAGCTATGTGATGCAGGCTGTAGACTAGGCGTCTTCAAGAATTCCTCGTCACTGCCTAAGCCCACAGTCAGGAAACGATCTTGTTCTGCACCATTGTGGGCTGCTGCAAGTTGATGTTCCAGGAAAGCAATCCTGGAGTGGAGTGCATGGATGTAGCACTTGGTCGGAGGCCTAGGGTCCTTTCAGCGATCAGTCCAGCCAGAATTTCCGTATCACCAACTTTCGCTTCTCAAGATGATATGTGTATCTACATTCGCGATCTTCTCTTTCGCAGACTTGGCAAACGGGCTTCTGCCCATCACACTATACTCGGGGTCAGGATCGCAACCAGCTGTCATATGTCTTTAGAACTCACGCGACGTTTCTTCTTTCTACATGGTACACAAGCAATGGAGACACGCTGTCTCTTTTGTGTAGCTGGCATTTTCAGAGCAGCGAGATGATGAGGTATTGTGTCGATGCCCATGACAGGATTGATTGACAATGTTCGACCCTGAGACTGTGGGCCCTGAGCGGGGTGGTTTGTCAGCAGCAAAAATGGGGCCCGCTCAGTTACAGTTGAAGGTCCTAGTACCCTTGATTATAAATGGCAGTCTGATGAACTACTATCTGGCCCACATTCCCTTCCTAGATACGTCATCAGCTTCCTCGAGGCTGACTATAGCCAATACGCAGAGGAAAGAAATATTAGTTGGTGGCAAAAAAGGACATGAAATAATTACTGACTTATTCCGTACGTGTGATCTACAACCATGCTATAACTGTTGCCTTAAGACTTTTTTCCAGGTCGAAGACCCAGTAGGGCATTGTTTCTTCTAAACCAGGTGTATTCCCTATACCTTAACCCTGGACTGCTCCAATTGATGAATAATCAATAAAAATAACAACAATAATAATGAAAGGAGACTTGTTCACTTCATTCTCATTACGATATCTGTAAACTAGCATAACGACTGTAATGCCTTTTATGCTTGATTGTCTCCGTCGTTCCGTGCATTCCATTCCCGGTCAAAGCGAGTAAGGGCTCTCTGTGCGGTTGGCACACAGTCAAGCGCTTTGATTGTAGTCCTCTCAGGACAGCTGACTATATACCATACCGCCTCAGCCAGATCCTCCGGTACGAGGGGTTCATACCCGTAGAAAAACTCATCCATCGCGTTCTGATCATACTTAACGCGCTGAAGATGAAAGTGACTGACCACGCAACCTGGTCGGAGGACTGAGACACGAATGTTGGATCCAGCTGTTTCCATCCGCAAACTGTTGGTAAATGCCTCAAGACAAGCTTTGTTTGCGTGATATACAGCTTCCCCATCAAAAGGAGGGCATTCAAGCCCGGTAACCGACGAGACGTTTATGATAGTGCCGCGTTTTCTGGGCCACATACTCTGGTTCAGAACAGTGTGAGTCATGTACATCACTCCCGTAATATTCGTGCCATTCATTTGCTCTATCATCTCAATCGGTAGTTCCCAGAATCTCCCCGGTGCACCAAGAGCGAGCCCAGCCTTTGGCGAGGGTCAGTTTTCACATCCCTTATCTCGAATCCCGAAAGCAAGCTTACATTGTTTATCAGAACCTCGATGTCTCCTAAAGCGGATACAATAAGTTTCACAGTCGCGTTGACCTCCGCATGGCTTTGGATGTCAACGCTGTAGGCGCGAACCTTGATATTGGGGCATATGCTTTCAATTCGAGCCTTCACAGCTTCTAGCTTCGGCTGATTCCGAGTCAGACTTTCCTGTGGAACCAACGTTATTGAGATACATACCCCGCTTCTTGCTAATAGAGCGACATTCATTCCATTCTCTGCTAGGGTCATAGCAATAGCTTCACCGATGCCCATGGATGCGCCGGTCTTAGCATAGCTTCATTAGCAAAAGAGGGAAACTACGCGGAACAGAGGACTCACAATAACTGCCGTGCGACCTTTTAGGTACGACTCCATTTTTTCGTGATCAATTAATATGGAAGTTCACAATTTCTGTCCAAGAGATGTTACAGCCAGTACTTAGGTCTTGTAATAAATAGACACGGGGGATCAATCGCATTTGGTGGGGTTGGCGGGTAATGCCTTTCCGAAGTGGAGAACGCCGACTTGGCCAACTCTGGTTATGATATCAGCGTAGATTTAGGCTGAGTATATACTTAATTTCAAGGGTTCAAAGACGTATAAATCAACCTTCGTTTGTGATTACGTTTTGACCTTCGCAACATATTGGAATCTTATGCTGTTGACACCAGAGTTCCTTTTTACAACAGAAACTAGACCGCAACATGGCAAATATCAGATCATTTACTGTAAGTTACTTCATGGCTGGCGCGGTGAATCATACTGAGCAGACAAATATTCAAGGTCCATATTTCCGAGACTCTCCTTGTGGAAGTTCAAACGAAGCTCAGGGTCGCTCGTCTCGATGAGCGCATGGGCGAGGTGGAATGGAACGACTTGGAGACTGGGCATGCCGAATTCAAGCAACTTGTAGAATTCTGGCGCGATGAGTATGACTGGAGGAAATTCGAAGGCTTCCTGAATACGTTTCATCACTACAAGACGCCGATACAAGTTCCTGGGTTTGAGGCATTGGACATTCATTTTCTGCATCACCCATCGTCACGGGCGGATGCAATTCCTTTACTGTTTATTCATGGATGGTATAGTAGCATACTCCTTCTTGATTTCATTCAACGTGCTAATGTGAAAGTATTAGGCCAGGGTCCTTTCTGGAATCACTGAAGATCATACCATTGCTCACGGACCCCCCAGAAGGACAGCAGGCGTTCCACGTCGTTGCACCATCTTTACCCGGATATGGTTTCAGCGGCTTTTCTCGGCAGAGTGGGTTTGGTTTGGAGCAATATGCCGATTGCTTTGCTCGACTAATGGCGACACTACGTTACGATAAGTTTGTTTGTCAGGTAAGCTATGATGTTTCTGAACCGTTTCACCGCCACTGGACTAAGGCACCGTTTAGGGTGGCGACTGGGGTTCGTCTATTGTTCGATATATGGCATTGGGCCATCCAGAGATGGTGCTAGGGATCCATATAAACATGTTCCTAGCACTTCCGCCCAGTCCGGAAAGCTCGACTGAGAAGTTCCAGCGGTACCAGAGGATGGATTATGACACGCAAGAGCTAGAGAACTTGGAGAGGACAAGATGGTTTGCGCATAATGAAGTGAGTAGTACTAAGCAGATGCCTAACTGCTCTTTGCATCTGACTGGAGCCATTCACAGCGCGGGTATCAGCGGGTTCAAGAGACAAAGAACGTGACGCTTGGTTACGCATTACATGACTCCCCCGTCGGCATGCTGGCTTGGCTAGTGGGCAAACTAAAGGCATGGACCCACGACTACCCTTGGACAAAAGAAGAACTCATTCATTGGACATTCATACACTATCAGGGAAGTCCGAGTGCAGCAATGCAGATTTACAAAGAGGCAGAGGCAGTTCTGAATGAAGACAGAAACAGTATGCTAGGCAGATATATATCCCAGCCTGTCGGTTGTTCAGTTTTTCCAAAGGAGGTATGTCGGCTGCTGTTGAAGGTTGTGGCATGGACTGAGATTTCACCCATTGTAATAGCTGTGGTTATATCCCCGCGACTGGATGAGCGAGACTTGCAACATCCAATTTTGGAAGCAACATAAATCTGGGGGACATTTTATTGCGTGGGAACGACCAGAGGCATTAGTGGCGGATGTTGCAGAATTTTTCGACAAAGAAGGGCCAGTATTTAAGAACGGTGGAAGCCATGGTTGAGGGAATATGACGGTTTCGATAGAGCAAGCAGGTGGCCACAACATTCGGGCGGATGATGAAATAAGATGAGTGCCTCATGACGTATTCTGCTCTACAATTTCGGACACGGCTTTCTCATGCCCCTCTACCTTATGCGCCGGGTATGGGACACACAACCTGCACCAACTACGACCTCGAATATGTGGAATTGAGATGCAGGACGGGGACTGTCAATCACTTATCTACAATCCACGTCATGTAGCCTGGGTTCTCCCAAAGTGACACCTATCTTCTCCATTAGTCCTCGCTCATTCGAAAAGGAACCGAAGTGTGGTTATAGAGACCGATGTACTACGGAGCACTACTGCCGGTCTACCCGCAAAGCATTGTTAGTAGAGTGCTACTCGAGCATTTGACTCATGTGCGAAGTTGACTAGTCGAAGTATTACAAATCCTAGGTGGAATGTTGGGAGGCCCTCGTTCCGAGAAGAACGAGAACTTAGTAGCCCTAAGCATGAAAAGGTTCCTGAGGGCTCATGTGATGTGCGTTGATAATTAGTACCCTAGATATATGTGATCGAACATTGAGCTTACTACGTTAGGTATGAAACGTAGAATGGGACTGTATTTTGTCACAAACGACTTGACATGTTCTTCGTAGGCACTCGTGATATTGTAATGATGTATAAGCGTTGAGGACCCAGCTCTCGAAAGTACATATTAGTACTGGCCGACAGGGGTGTAGTAGGATATGAGATGATGTAGAGAGCATTTAGATCCGGGTAAGTAAGCGGGAACATTTCTCCGTTACATGATTTTTTATATGTTGCATGAGGGTTCACCAGCTGGTTTTGTGTGCCCTGTACAGGGTATGGATAAACATTTACCGGATATAGAGTCGGCAGTCTCAAACAGTAGGTCAAGCTTAAGCCAAGACCGCGGCAGAACTCCTTCTGGAATGGAAACCTGGTACCGCTGGTACGAACGGCTGCTGATTGGCTTGCACACCCGGTGCGGTCTTGGCGTCAATGACGCTAAACCTTTCCTATGGTGACTTTGCGAGTGGCCCCATGGCCACGACAGCGACGAGAGGGTCTGGCACACGTGACAGACACGGAGCGTCGATCCCTCCCGATGTCCGATTGGTGGCGGAAGGCCGTCGCACTTCCCCTCTTCCCAGACGGGGATCTGAAACTTGCAGTTGCTGCCCGCTTGCTATTCTTTTTTTGCACTGGCATGAATCACATCGTCGGTCTCGCAAGCACTGCCTATTCCTGTTGAATGCAAATCACAGCCTCTTCCATTCTCCGAGCTGACCTGCATCTGTCCTTGCTTGCATCTGGTAGCTTCGTCTCCGCCGCTTATACACATGGTGTTCCCTGGGAGGCTTAGCACCGGCTGCTATGTATGCCGGAGGCGTAAAGTGAAGGTATGTTCGATAACAATGATAAAAAGCTGTTCTGTCTCTCCTTCTACATGATTCTTAGCTGATATGGAACAGTGTGATGGTGCTCGACCAGCATGCCGTCGCTGCGTCACACACGGAAGGCAGTGTACGGGTTATCCGGATGCCTTTGCCTTTCGTGAATATAAAGCCACGAAAAAACCTCAAGCAGGCAAGGCAGCAGCCAGGAAACGAACCAAAAAGACGACGGACGGTGAACAACCCGCGAATGGCTCAACATCACCGTCCGCGGCAGTATCAGATCAATATGGAACGGATACACGTCTGATTCCCACTAAATCCCCATCCACACCACCTAGCCCCCCTGCTGCGATAACGCCATGTTTGGAGTGGCAATCACTCTGTTATTTCTTTCATCAGCATGTCCTGCCCACCGAGAAGTCTCCCTGTGAGGGTCATCTTGCGTTTCTTCCTGAGCTATATCAAGAGAAAGGCAATGACCCTTCCTTGAGACATGCCATCCTTAGCGTATCCTACCTTTCGTTATTCAACACCGCTCGCGTAAATGAGCTCTATGTGAATGCTAGGAAGCATTATGGCGTGGCATTGAAATCGCTCACAGCGTCACTCAGCAACAGGGAGACCTCGACTCAAGACGAGACGTTTGCAGCTGCGCTATTCTTGAGTATGTTCATGGTAAGTTTACCAACAACGACCGGATTAATCGGCACCATTTGCTTACCAAACCTCAGGATCTAAGCGGCGAGAGACAGGGGGCAGTCAATCCTCATATCCCTGGAATATGCTCTCTAATGCATCTTCGGGGTAGACCAGAGCGCAGTAGCAAATATGCCCGCAAACTCTTTGGTTGGGCATTCACTCAAATAGTAAGTCGAACCACTGTAATCACAAAAGCCATTGTTGACTTAGTTCGTGCGTTGCAGCAAATTCAAGCGGTAGCGAATAATCAGTTTGCGTATGCCTGCTTGCCAGCGTCTATCAATATGGTGTACAATCCCGACTACGTGCTACGCTCAGGGATAATTACCAGTATGATCTCCGAGTTCTGTCAAGGGGCCAGCGAGTTCCGAAGAACCGAACACAACTACCCGCCCACCGCCAGGGCCCGGTTATTGCATTCCATTTTGGGACGGGCGTATTTCATCATGGAACAAATCAACATTTGGGACGAGGCAGTCCCGAAACATTGGAAACGCCAATTTGTCGTGCCGGGTATGGGCCATGTGAATCATGCAGAGCAGGCTGCTTCACCAGATCCATGGACCCCATGCTTCTTGGCCGTCGTCCAGGCAGCACAGATTCTCTATCTCCTCCACGTGTTCGAGTGTTGGGAGAAGTTCGTTCCATTTGCATCTGCGATAAACGATGAACATATTGAACATTACCCTGTAGAGACCTTCAGCGGGATAGACGATCGGATCAGAAGCCTGATAGAGGTGATTTGCGACACTGTGACTTACACATTGGGACATGTCACCCCAAATCATGAATTCCAGCTGCACCCCCACAGCAAGCTGGCGAATGGATACACGCTTCTGTGGCCGATGTGGGTGGTTGTAAATTCCGGGCTTGCGACAGCAGACCAATTGACTCTCTGCCGGCTTGCTCTCCAGTGTGTTGGTTCGACCATGGGTTGCCGGGTGGCCTCTGTCCTGTGCGCAGATGGTAGACCGGAAGAACCTCGTTCAAGCATACTTGAACAATCCTCAATGACTCGCAGCCTCACGGCGGTGCAGTAAGCTGCAAATTATGAACCTTTCATGCCGTGTTATGAGACACGATGAACATTATGATTTATACCCTCGATGCTGAGACGACAGCAGTTTGGGCGACTGTATGCCTGAAATGATTTCCCATGTCGCATTTTTCCCCCCCAAAATCTGAATAACTTTTATCGTATTAATATATATTTACCTCTTCATTAGAACATTGTCCATGCTTACCTGTAAATATTTTGCTCAAACGACGTCTATCCGTGCAGTGTATCTCGCCCATTTTGAAGAGCAGGGAGCAAGGAAACTTGAATACTTCTCAGGGGGCATTCCCCAGAGCGCATATTGAAAAGCAACAACACCCACTGGACGAAAAGCAAATAAAAAAAGTCTACTAGAGCGAGAAAGGGATAAGCCAACATCCGACAAGCCCCCACTGCCTGTTCGCAAAGGGTCACCAGAACAGGTTAGCGGGGTGATCTTCGTAGGGCTGTACAGGATAAGCCGGGGGTGAAATGCCGTCCACTCGAACACTGAATATCTTAGTGAGCCATTCCCACAGGGGTCAATTGCATGTGTCGGCTGGAACTCAACCGTGCTAATATTGCGCGTGGGATTGCTCGGTTCGCGTCCGTCTAGACTGACAGTGATAAATTTCGGGGGATGGCCGGGGTCGGCGTCATTTTCCGAATCTGGCAATCGGCGGCAAGGTGCCCCAGATTGACAAGCAAAAGTTTCGTGTGGGACTCATCGCAGCACCGCCACGGTGTCAAGGGAGAATGTCACTATCTTCTCTGCTAAAGAAAAAAACTCTGTTTAAATATATAAGACGGTCTGCTCATGTGATATGTGAAGATGTGATGGATGTAGAATCTATAGTCGCAAACTTAACTAACTACCCAAACCCAACACCTTATAATAACTCCAGTATAACATGCAAAAGAAAGACCAGGGAAAGCTGTGCGAACTAACGCCACACAGGGCCCCAGTAGTCATTGTCCCCCTGAAAGGCGCTATCATACTTCTGGCATCGCGGATGATCGTAATCTTCCTGTGACCCCTGCGGCCAGATAGGAACAGCACAGAATTCATTATCCTGGCAACCAGAACACTCCTTCCATATACTCCAGTCAAGATAGTGCATCAGGTCCTGCAGAATAGTTGTCACTATACCGTACTCCTTGGCCTCCATGCCTGCCATAAGACTGCTGCAGATCCTACTGCTAACAGTATAGACAGCTCGGTAGCCCAAAGAGTCCTTAGGAGCATGAGTTGGAATGAACTGGCTAGCACATCGGTTAATCTCAGCGTAGTAATCACGATTGTCGCGATCGACAAATGGGGATAATATACGCTCTGCCGTCTCCATAATAAACTCGAGGCGAGCAGCCTGATCGTCATGATGGGCGGATACTAAGCCGCGCAGAATGCGACCGTATTTCTCAACCACCATGTCCACCACTCCTTGCCAGTTTATCACCCGCGTCGTAGGATCGTGAATCATGACTAGCGCAGTCAAATCATCCCTAATGGGCGCAAGCGATGAAGCAGGGAGATGCGCAAGACGCGGATGCTTGCTACCACCATGGAACAGATCAAGACCGTAGTCATATGCAGTGACGAAAGCGTCATAGTTGACAATGACCCGGTCGCCGCCAATGCCATGATACCTTGATGTGACCGTCTGAAGCAAGTCACCAGGTTTGCCGCTTTTCTTTGCGGAATCCCGACTGGGAAGCGTCACTCGAGCAATATTGACTGTGTCTAGCTTCTGTTCGGGATTACAGAGAATGATCTCAAAACCCGCTGCCATCCGGATCACGCCGTCGATACGTCCATTCCATTCCTCTTGCGCGATCTCACAAATAGCGCCAGCGCGCGCTGACTCTTGGCTTACGCCTCCATGCTTCAGTATATCTTCGAATAGGACTCTGTCCTGCAGGTCCAGTGTGCCTATTTGAGACTTCCCCGCCGAGGTACCGTCAATGTAAACGAGGCGAAGGTCTTCCGTGGTCGCGTAGGTGTGAAGACTGCCAGTCTCAGCTGGGGTAATCATTACTTGCTGGGACTCGGAGTCCCTGTGAGATGGCTGTTTTGAAGGTGTTCGAGCGAATACCATGGCGTGCTCGGGGTCGAAAGCCATCCAGCCTATCCTGGAGATGGGGTCTGATCGTGTGTCACCGTGATAGAGCTTGACTCCCTTCGGGACAGAGGCAAGAAAAAAAGACATTCCATTATGATGAATTGATGATCCCCATTGTCGCATGGAGGAGTGGATGGCGTTGAAGATGTGGTTGGCGTTGTGCATGGGTTGCGGTTCCCCGATGGCGAGGGCCGTGGTGGTGGTAGTCATGGAGAAGGCTGTTAGGCACGTTAATAAAATTGAATGATACATGATCATTAAAGTCCTGGAGATTGAATGGGACTCACCTCTCTCTAAGTTTATTGGACTCTCGTTTAGTTTATATGGCGGCTGGCTATGTTGTCCGCAGCTCGGAGGATCCACATTGAGCTCAAGGCGCCAGCGCTTATCCCCGAGCCTTGCTCGCCACCTAGTTAGTTATATTTTCTTCCCTGTTGATTGACGCGTACTACAAATTTCATCATGCAGGATCGGAGGTAGAGACATGATTGTTGCAGTCTCTTATTTGTGTTCTTTTCCCCTCATGTTCCCAATTTCAGATCAGATGTTCCGATCAGCCCTACAAGGACGGATGATTGTCAGCCGAAGGTGGGAATAATAGTTGCAATTTTGATTCACGGAAATGATTAGTTCCTCTAGCTTTCCACCGTACTACCATTATGTAGCAAGAACTAACATTCCCAGCCCGTAGATTCGAATACAATCATCGCAATCACTAGCTGTTGCCAGGCCGTGCACGGTAGGCAACCTCCTTTTTCAAGGCCCTCATCTTTTCTAGCCCCCTTCAAATCTCATTGACGGTGTTCACCACAACACCGACAGTAAAACATTTAGCCGTACGCTCAGGCATTGATTTCCCTGGTGATAATTTGCGATGGCATCATATCAACCTCCTTGCTCTTCTCAATCACGCCCTCACTGCTGGACCGGCTGGCAGCCTTCTTAGGGCGGATTCTGCGCATGCAGGCCGAGAAGAACGGAACGTAGCCGTAACGCTCATTGTACCACATGCAAACATAGGCAGTGATGATACAGATCCAGTACAGGTTGTAACCCAGCACGGATCCATAGGTGGCAGAGTTGGTCCAGCCGAAAAGGGCGTTGAAGATACCCCATCCACCACCACTACCCAGTTCGGGGTTGCAGCAGTTGACGTGCCAGACACTCTGGCGGATATCGTAGGAACCGGCCCCCGAACCCGTTTCAGAGGCATCACCACCGATGATATTGTTCCAGGCGTTATTCTGGAGGTACCAAATGGCACGGGAGAAGAGACCAGCGGAGACGAGGTAGAGGAAGCAGGTCGAGATGATCAGGAAGTATTGCAGGGAGGCAGTGTTACCACATCTATTGGAGTAGAAATGTTAGACGGAACTGCAACCCTTTTCAGCACGAGAGGAAAACTGACCTGTAAAGAAGGTATCCGACAGCAATACCGGCAGCAAGACCACAAACGACTGCGAGAGGGAACGAAGTAGCAGGAAGACCGAGACCCACGCCACCGACATATACGACGGCCTCAAGACCCTCACGAAGAACAGTCACGAACGGAAGAAGGAACATGACATATTTCTTGGACCAGTCTTTGAACCGCTGGTAAATACCGATCTTGGTCTTCTCCTTCTCTTCAAGAGCCTGGGCCAGCTTATCGCGCCACTTGTCCTGCAGCTTCGAGACGCGCAAGAGACCAGCACCCATGATACTGATAATGATGGAAGCGATGAATCCGAAGATACCTTCCCAAATATCCTCACTACCGGTGAAGACATCCTTGTTGAGGCCGTAGAAGGCACCAATCATACCACCGCCGACACACAAACATATGAAGAGACCTAATGCTACACCAAGCCATACCTGGATTATGTAAGAAGGGAGAATGGGATTCTGTATGAGGGAAGAAACATACATGTCGATTTAATCGTTTTAATGTTTGTACATCGCCTTCTCCTCCTAGTGTCTGCTTAAGGAAAGACAAAAGCACGGAGACGATAATGACACTCTCCAGACATTCACGAAAGCAGATGAAGAAGACTATTGAAAGTGAGCACTGGATCAAAAGAGCGAATATGTTGCTACAATAAGGTGTAAGAGTCAGAGATATCATACCCGTCACTGCAAACACACTGTTGGCCATATTGTCGACAGTAAGCCTTGTCCAAGGCAACCCCGAGAGACAGTTGAAAGGGACAAAAGTGAATGAGAGTCCAAGCCAAAAGTCCTGTGACAGTCCCTGTGATGACCGAGGGAGATGATAGCAACATATACTGCAGCGGATCAAGGACGGATTTCTCTAAGTCTTCTCCGATTCCCGCAACCCATTCGGATGCGTCTTTTCAGCGGCTCAGGTGCCACTCCAACCATTCATAGAGGCACCACACCGAAATTGCCATGGCACTAGGAGCAAAATCGACCGGGACTCCAGTGTCCGGCTGTATGCGATGCTCAATTACCTACGTAACAAAAATGGACACTCCGGTTCTCGCTTATCAATCTTCACAGGGAATAATCTCTTGTCATATGCCTAGAGTATGGCTATCGCGGCATGCAAAGGGTCTCAGAGGCATGGCCTTGGTAACTATAAGCGGGTCAAGGATGTTTGCCAAGACGCAGAAAAAATCTGATAGTGAGGAGTCAGAAGCGATTGGTTAACTGGAGTCATGGGTATGGATCTGATAAATCATACCCGGTCAAAAAGTGGGTGCCCCATCGGGCGGATGGTTGAAGTTTGGGTTGATAGTCGGCTGTAACGATACAGTCACCGTACTCCGGATACTACAACGTCTTGCCAAGAGACACGCCAAGACCTGGCATTACCACGAATTTCCTATGGGCAATGCTCCTTTGACCACCACGTAACAGACTTATGCTCAGCTCTTGTCACAAGGTGCGATCTACTCAGACATAGGTAGGAGATCGGATGAGGATGTGTCATTTCACGCCATCATTATTATGCGACTACAACGCTGACGAGAATTCCTACTTCGGTACCAAGACCAAGACGGTGGATATGGTCGAAACATGGCTATAGTGCAGAGTTTAGTGGAAAAGTCAGCTAGATTGATTACTTAGGTTCATGTGGGACCCCGATGTTAAAGATTATACCTTCATCGTTGGGAGCACTTAGGTCTTGGGGAGAGCCATTTGGAGGGACGCCAGAGCACCCATGGAAGAAATCTTTCCCACCGATGCTATTCACACTAAATAACGGTAAAATCACTTGACTAGTGCCCTGTTCTTTAATCTTGAGGCGCCAGTGCGGTTATACCAGTGGTTGAATTGACCTGCACCATGGAATCGTACAATCACTCGACCCATGGCCGAACAAGACAGGACGGCTGCAACCACACACGATGTCCCGAACCTATCTATACTTAGCTGATTCACCTCTGCAACACTCCTCAGTGTTCCAGAACAACGATGATGTCCATCGGACCAAAGCAGATTCAAGTTATCTTTCGAGGATCGTCAGGCACAGTGGACGTAAAATTACCACTCGTTTGATACAAGTATTGTTGATTGATAAGATGACCCGTAGAACTCGGTTGCGCCATGCAATCCTAGCGTACTCGCTAATTAAGCTTTAGGTTAGGCTCGCAAACTAATTCCTTTCTTTCTCATAACCTTCCCTCGGGATATCAGCGGCGGGCCGGTGGGACCGCCATACGGGGGAGTTCTCTAGTGACTTGCATCTCCTCTTCCTATGGGTCATGGGGCCATTAGATGAATAGGAGGCTGGGAGGGATCGGTTGCTTAACTCGGACAAGGGTGGATACTGGGTGCGAATTCCAACGGGCGAACCAGGCGTGGGATTGACAACCACATATCTTCACTGTAATAAGGGTTCCTCCCAGATAAACTCTAGGGACTGATGCAAGATTTGCTGGTTTACCCAAGCTTAATCAATTGTGACATACCATGGTCACATGTCCAGTACTTGTGCGGTCATGTTGCCCAACGGACAACCTGTGCTTCGAGCCAGTTTTTCATGATTGATAGGAGCTGTCTGAACCCAATACGTGCAACCTATAACCCAACCATGAACAGGACGTCATGCCAAGCGGCAAAACTATCACAATCATACAATGCGTACATAATTGCCGCAGGAACGCGGACAGGTTACCCTGAAACGTGTATACTTTGCGACAACAAACCTGGAACAACCGCACCAAACGTGGGGTGGACTCCCAATATGGTAATAATTTGATGCCAAGACAGACCGTGTCATTCCGCCATCTCGCTTAGGACCACCCGGGGCTCGGATACAGCGCCCGTGGGAGATAGATCAACTCCCATTTCTAAAAGGAACCTACCAAGTCATGAGTCAAAGCCGGGGATGACCGACGGCCCGTACGTTGCTGCATTATTGCCAAGCACGGCCTTCCAGCTGGTGGCACCTTGTTGGTGGGGTCAAGTACAAGTGGCCAAGAATTTCTTGTCAGTCATATGGCCGCTGCTTGGCCTGTGGATCTTATCTGATGAAGCTTCGGCGATATTAGTCTTGGCAGCCCACATGGCCAGTGGGCTCCGTCGTCGGCGGCTACAGATACGGGCTCTTATGAACGGGGAAGAATTACTTTGACGAGAATTAAGCATACGTATACTTAGTTGGATCGTTATTTCCGACTTATCAATCTCTTGCGTCTTGGCACGTCCAACCATATGGGTCAATGGTTCGTGGGCGCAATTTGGCGGACCAGTAAATGGGGTATGATACAACGCTTCCCACCATCGGCTGCTCCGGAATTTTGCACAAGGCATGACTGGAGAAGAAAACTCTGCTAGAGGAACGCCTCTTTCTAGAGACTTCAGTTGGCTGGGCTCGGATGTATTTGCAATCTAGCGATTAGAATGGGTCCCATTAGGCACCGTATGACAATAGAAGGCAAAAGTCTGGCCAGACATATATACCGGGCAATGGGCTTCCTCGACTTGGTCAGACAGACTTTGAGCTCATCCGTGTCAACATGCGTTCCCACGCTGCCATCTTGCTTGGACTGAGCTGGGCCGTGAGCCCGGTCCTCGCCGGTCAGGGCTTGACAATGTCGGCTCCCAATCTGGCTGATTATTGCTTCTACGCTATATATTCGTCTCTCGGCTCATACACATTCGAAGGGGCAACCTCGACATCATCGAGCTCCGGCACGACAGAGTATGGGTCTTCCAGCCAGTATTCCTCCACCAACTCCTCCAGCAGCTCCTCCAGTAGCTCC